TTTTTTTCGGTGTTTTTTTTTTTTTTTTTTTTCTTATCGGCGGTCAAGGAGCTTGAGCTTAGCCGGCCAGCTGCCGTCGTGGTGCAGGACGCTCCACTCCTCTGGGCCACTCTCCAAAATGGAGGTATCCTACGCTACGACGAGTAACGTTGATGTAGTTTCGGTTGCCTCTGGAGATCGGCCGGTAAAGGTGCTGCCACTGGTACATCCATCGCCGTCTTCATCTAGGAGGCCGTCGGCGCCTTTCCTAGGCCGGTGGGTTTCGATGCTCAGGGAGATGTCGTCGAGGGAATGGACGGAGATCTTTCTTCCATGTGCTCGGTGGATTCGGAGCTATCGCTGGAGGGAATATCTCCAGGCCGATCTCATTGCTGGGGTCACCGTCGGCATCATGCTTGTCCCTCAGGTGTGCGGTCTTCTAAATCCCTTTTGTTCTTTCCGTATTCATTTACACGGTAAAAACTAATCCACTTAAGTAATGAATGTTAAATTCCTTTTCTAGATTTTTACTTTGTTTCTATGCACCCGTTCGATTTCTAAATATTTGCTTCTTTGATTCATTGAGTTGGGGATTATGTTGGTTGGACATGGCTTCCTGATTTGGAATATTGATGACGAGTGTCCTGGTTTAAGAAGGATGTGGGGCGAGGGGAGCTTTCGTACTTTAAATGGCTGTTTGGTAGCGGGATTTAGCCTATATCCTGCCAGATAGCAAAAATAACATCTTGAAATCCTTCTTTTCCTCGGGTTTGCCTTAAATTCAGGATTTAGCAAATCCTCTTGGAAGACGGATGAACGGGATTTAGAGAAGCTGAAGTGCGCGAAGGGGAGGAAGCGGGTGAAAGAGGAGGGTTACCTTTCTCAATGGTTCTGGTAGTAGCGGAGCGGCATGACGAGAAAGATGGGAGTTTCGGAGGAGTTTATACACTTTCAAGATAGCTATAACCGCGACTGTATCGTGAGTGTGTTCGGTCACGAAGGTGATGGATTAGGGCAAAACCGGTACAGTGAGGAGGGTTGCTCGCTAGGGTTTCGGGTAAGAGAGGAAAATGGAAGGATAGTTTTATCTAGGGCTGCAAACAAACCTGCAAACAAACCGAGCAATGCTATCTTTAAGCTTGAGTTTGTTATAAAATTCTAGTCTAATCTAGTCGTGCGAGCATATATCGAGCTTTTGGGGATGTGTTGAAGCTTGAGCTTGTTTATAAATTTTGAGTTCAAGCTCTAATCGAGCTTTGCGTTTATGTTCAAGCTTATTTCTTACTTGAGTTTGGTTTTTGTTCGTTTCATATGATATAATTAAATTATTATCAAATAGATTAATGAGTAAATCATTATGCTACATGATTTCTCTCCAAATATTTTTTATTGAGCAAACTAAATTAGAGCTATGTTGTTATTTACTTTTAACTAAATAAGATTTATCAAACAAAATATTGAGTAGTATGATCGAGTTATTTATTTTCTAATCAAACAAGTTTTATCAATCTTACAAATGAGTTTTTTGCTCAACTTAAAAAAAAAATAAATGATCTTTTAAATGAATGGGCTATTAAATGATTAACTAAAATAAGCTTATTAATGCATAAAATAAATGAACAACTAAACAATTAAGTATTTATCTTTATTTATGTACCACAAATTAAAATTTAATTTAATACAATATAAATGAAATTTAAATTATGCTTTAATTGAGCTTATTCTTAAACTAAGTTTTAACTGATTTTATTCATAAGCATTAAATATATCTTGTTTATGAAGTTTAAATGAAATTGTTTATTGAGTTTCTTAACAAGCTTGTTAACAAACTTTAAATAATATTTTTCACTAACATAAATGATTCAAACAAGGAGGCTTTCAAGCTTGTTTTTTTAACAATCGATTATTTATAGAAGTATTCAAATTTGTTCAATTAGTTAATCAAACGGATATGAACGAGCTCTTATCGATCCGAGTTATGAGTAGCATTTCAAGCTCTCGGATCATTTGCAACCCTACTTTTATGGCATTAATTTATATTTACTTAAGTTAATTTTCATTAATTTAACTTTGATTAATTTAATTTTACTTAATTTAATTGATTTATAACTAATTATGAATTATTAGCAAAATTTAAAAAATAGCATTTTTAATAATTCAGTTAAGAATAACAATACAAAAAAAGAAAAAAAAAAGAAAAAAAAATTCAAACATGGCAAAATCATGCTGAGTTGTTGTGATTTCTAATTATTAAATCTTTTAGAAAAATGAAATCGGGCCTCTTTATACATATTTTATTAGTTTTTTTTTTAAATGTGTTTGTTAGGATAATTAAAAGTATGAAGTAACATGTATATAAATTTAGATATACATAATAAAGTTGGGCCTACTCGACTCATAATATATATTTAAATATAGATAAAATTTTATTAGAAAATTATTATATTTGACATATAATTCTTATGTATTAACACATCTAAAATTTATGATTGATATTTTCATTTATTACATAATTGATATTTTCATAAGTATAATTAATATTATTAGAATGTCTACAATATAAATTTATTGATTTTTTTTATTTTGATAAAATTAAGGTTTAAAATTCTAAATATATATTTTTTTATTTTTTGATAATTTAAAAATATTTACTTGTGCATTCATACTATTAATGAAATATATTTAAATAGTTTCTAATTTATAAGAATATTTGGTTATTTTTACATTTTTATATGTAAGCTAGTTACAATAATTAATAATAATAATTTCGAATAAATGATTTAAATAAAAAAAAATGACATGCAAAACACACAAGCAGTAGTGATATGAACCTCGAAGAGGTGTGACATCTATGCAGACATCATATAATATACAATACATTCCAATATATATAATTACAAAATATATGCATAAAACACTAATGAAGACATAAAAAAATAACATGAAATACAATATATTACCACTAAAGTCTCTGGTTACGCCTCCACGATATGATATCTGTCCTTATCATGTACTAATCTGGAGGACAAAGTGGGCACTCTCATAGCTGATGGCCCACTGCACCCTCCTCCATAGAAGTTCTCTCATGCCCATGCCAGGGGCATATAGCTCCTCATGTGACATGTTTGTTTGACTAGTTTGTGTGATATGATGCAACTGTGTTACTGATACTGATGGCATTCATAAATAACCTGTACACTTTGACAGTGAAATTAGAACTTGGTGTCATCCCAGGTGGTGGTTGCAAATAGGATAACATTGGAGTATCCGGTTATGTAGAGCTTAACTCAAATGATGACCACTGCGATAATATGCTTGGAAAAGTGGTTGATAATGAACCTACATAAGTATATTGTCTCCGATTCCGAGCTCTAGCTGAGAGGCTGGTGCAGTAGTCTTATGTTGTGCGTAATTATCTTCGAGTAAATCATCAATGACCTACATGCTTGGGCGAACTTCATTACATTGCTTCTCAATTTCATTGACTACACGTTGTAGCAGAATAACATCTTTGTCAAAGTATGGCTAGAGTTTCTCCTCATATATTGGAAAGTAGCCATGCTAATAATGAACTCATAATAATAAATGTATTTATAACATATTAACAATCAAGGAGTATAAAAGCACAATTATATCATTATTCGATCTCTTGGGCTCTAGGAGTATAAAAGCACAAATGTACATGACGGAGCTATCAGTGCCTCAATAAAAAAAGGGAAGGCCATGATCTATGTCGTTGGATACTCCTTAAGCTATCTACCTTCGCTCTCTAGGGACTGATCACCTCGGATGGCAAAGTCATGTTGACTGTCAATATTGCAATATGGGCACAATGAAAGTCGACCCCATCAAGATATGTCCTCCCCCTGCCATTAACTCGCCTGAAACTAGACTCCATCAATAATATATCAGTCTGTTGAATAACGCTGAATGGCTTCATCACAAGATCAGGGAGGTGCCATTCTACTCGACGCCAACAAATGAGGGGAACACGAGTCTGCCAAATGTGTACCCCTACGGTGTTACTCTTGACTATCTAAACTATAATTTGTATGGTGCATGAATCTCATATAACATATAAGTATATATTTTTGGTTATTAAGTTGATTGCTTCAAATATATGGAATAAGTATATAATGATCTTTAATTAACACATACCTGACGTTACAGTAACTCGTTAATCTCATCTCTGTAAATTTGTACTAATGTAGGTCTTATCTCCCTGTACCTGTTCTCATTCCACCTAAAAGTAAAGAAATATATGTTAGACTATATTTAACAATATAAAATATTTTAAATTAATTATAGATGAAAAAGATGATAAATGTAGCCCAAGTTTTATCCTTGTTAATCTGTAGGATATTACACATCTATCTTATGTCTGTCGACATGTATATGATTCCAAATCCAAGCCTAGAGTAGATTTAAGCATCTTGTCATCACTCGACTAGGCCGAGTGGTTTCTCTCAAATTTCTATATAAATGAGTCAACACTGCACCACCTATGGACAACTACGAGAAGCTTATAACATCTTACAGCAATAGTAAAAACTGTAAATGAATCTTAGACCCTGAAATATCGAGCAGCAAAAATATCCCAAACATGAATATAATGTTAGCCTACAGATGTCACAAAAAGCCAACGCCTTCCTTCTCTATATAAGACTATCTATAAAATGTCTAGTGGAGTCATCGAAGAGGCAAGCATGTTTAACCGTAATTGTCCCATTCTGAATGTAGCTGTCATTCCTGGATGATCAACATGATGGTAGATGACTCCAAACTGAGGATGGTTACTCACCTACCGTTTCTGCCAGTCAATGCAATGCCAAATATACAAATGCCCAAAATAAAGCTAAGATATCAATGCAAGGCCATCTATACAAGTGCCCAAAATAAAGCTAAGATTCTACAGCATGATGGTCATCTCCTCTACATGGAGGTGGAAAGATTTTCTCTTAGGCAACCGACGCTCCAAAAAAGTTGTCAGCATATTATGGTCCAATCTAATATACTACAAATGTACAATGCAACCTTGTCCATCAGATCTTAGTCTCTTGAGCATATGCGAACATATGACAAGCCAGTCCCTAACCATCAGTAAGTGTGATACCGGCTCAAGAATAGTCTACTTACAAGAGCATGTAAAAATTACAAGTAATGAGTCATAATTTTTTTTCCTAAAAATAATTAATTAAGATTAACGCTTACAAAATCAGAATGAGTAGCATGATGAGTCCCATGTAATCTGACAATGTTGGGAGGAACATTTGCTAGTAGAGGCTGTGGACAGTCTCGTGCTCAATTGCAACTCCTGCAAGCCATTTTTTTGAATGACATTACAAATTTAATAAACATTTGTTAATATATAAAAGATGAATAATGTGCTAAATAAAACAAAGCCTAACGAAATTAAGACAGTAATTAGGCTTTAGTTTAAGCTTAAGATGAACAACACGCTAAATAAAATTATAATTAATTTATTTTAATAACTTAGACATTAAAAAATTAATAAACCTATGTTAATATATAATGATGAATAATGTGCTAAATAAAACAAACCCTAACGAGATTGAGATAATAATTAGGTTTTAATTTAATCTTAAGATGAATAATGAACAAAATAAATTTATAATTAATTTATTCTAATAACTGAGACGAGACTTAACTCAATTTTATTAAGTTATTTTATTAATCAAACTCTAAATTTAATGTTAGCTTCAAATTTCTTTCATAATCAATTAGGATGTGGTAATAAATTACAAATAGGAAACTCTAAGTAAATTAACAAGAGAAATACACAGGATAACAAACGATTCATGAAGACGTAAAATTTACTCTGAAGACCACATAAAATAAGTACAACAGGACTACTTACCACAAGTACAATTGAATTTTTTAACATAAGCACGGTGTGACTACTTAAGACTGCTACATATGAGAAATTTGTTAATGCTTCTATGTATGATTCTGTGGATTGCGAGGACATGTTGATCTATTTTGTCATATTATTGCCCAAAATTCACAGGCACAATCTGCGATACCCATAGTTCTTTTGGCCTTTTTAAAATTTTCATGCAAGTGTTGTGGACATTGGTGATGAACTGCATGAGAATTCTGCAACCCTAAAAAATGTTTGTCTAAAACTATGCACAAGTCTACTATATCGTGCACTGTTGGATTTATAGCATGCAAACATTGTAGGAATCATAGTCATGATTAGTTTCACTTGGATTTTACAACAGCAAAAACTAATAGAAATAGATCATTATTGACATCTATTCCAATCGTAATTAATAATATGCCCCTATATTTCTCAAAATAGAAATGTTCTATCCAAACTTAGAATAGTTCTGCATCAACCACATATCATTGGTCCAAATGCTTAGAAAATATGCTTAGATTTGTTAGACTGGCCAACTTGAATTTTGTACACAATTCTCCTTGTGGTATGGTAGATGACCTCTATTAGCCTGTATGATGATCAGTACGACTCCCAACTTCTAAATATGGACTTGATGACTTTTCTTCTGGCATCCCATGGCTTTATATACGACACCATCACAGTGAATCTTGCCTCGACACGATCTATAATTTCCTTTAATTTGAGGTCCAATTGCTGTCGAATTCCACACAATATAAATTGACTGATAATTTCGAAGTTCATTGTATATGGCCACGCTGCCCCCGCCCAGGCAGCCCCCCCAAAAATGCTTGATATACTTCATGCCCCGCCTAGTCTTTTTCTACTAAGTGCATGTTGGCATCATTGGCAAGGTCTATGTAGATGCTCAGGTTGTGCACAGAGCAAAATATTTCGATTTTTGTTTGAAGTGAACAACTTATATTCTACATTGTTTCATATTGACAATCCATTTGGAGCAAATTGAAGTGCAACTCTGCTTGGAAAGAAGATCTCCTCGATCAAATTTATTTGAGATAAATTCTTCTTCAAATGGGATAGTCATCAAGAAGCGCATCAAAATCAATGTAATTGTTCCACTCACGTGTTGTTCGACAATTCTGAATTTAATCATTATTTGAGATCTTTTGTTCATCGTCTTTGAATTTTGGAATGCTTGATTCTATATTATTTGGTGTCCCATGAGAACATCACTATCTCTTTTATCCTTAACATCTATATTGGGATCATCGTCACTAGATGAGTCAGTAGATTTACTGTGTATGATCTCATAGCTTGCATCAAATTGTTAGATTGGAATTTCACCTTCTCTTCTGTCACAAATGCTGGATTGAAGATGTTGGCCTACTAGCGTCCAATGAAATGAAATGATTCCTATAAAAGGATAATTATTTGATTAGTATTTGAATGTATAATAAAAAAAGGGAAAATTTTATTTAATCTGTGCATAAATATGTCTTGCCGCTGCGTCTTATAGCCTCTATTGGATTGGGTGCTTGTACATTAGATCAACTATAAAGAGCTAATAAAGAAGTTACATGCTGGCTCATAATATTTAGAACAATTGGTTTATTCGGAGGGAGTGGCAACATCAACATATAAGACTACAAGTTTAGTGGTTGAAATTTAGGACAACTCGCAATAAAAGTATCATCCATACGAAAATACGATATCAAATTCACGGTGAACTTTAAAACCCATAGTTAAAAGAGCACATTATTCTGTTCTTCAATTCGTCAAAAGTTGTACGACCTGATATTTAGAGTGATTTTTACTGCTGATATATTTAAGATCAAATTTGTCTGAGAGTATCAATTATCCATTATATCTCATAATCATGGTTGCAATTTGTCTACTTAGTGTGCCTGATTGTACTGCCTTCCAAGATAATTTCAAAAGACAAGTTTATAAAATTGAATTAGATGTATTTTTAGATTCAATTTCATTTTAGTTTTGAATAAACTAATTTTACTTTAGTTTATTTTAGGTTTAAACATGAGATACTTAAATTTATAAATAAAATAAACTCTTTTTTATTTCGGATGAATTACTTAGAGCTATATTGAATGTTTGTTTTAAACTCAACTTAGGTTCTGCTTTACGTAAATATCACACAAAATTTTGTTAGTCTCTCGGCGTTATGCACAAGTAGGGAGCAATATCAGGAGGTTGAGCTTGCCCACCGCGCTATGAAAAGCTCGTATGGGCTGTGTATACACCATAGCCTTGTGTCTGTCATTTATCATTCTCCGAAAAGTGTGCACATGTTAACTGTATAAAAAAAATGAATAATTCCCCACCATTCTATGAAACGCGCGTATAGGAACTTAATTTTGATTTGTTCATTAAGTTGTGAGTGTCACATACGAGTTTCGCCTCACCATGCTACGAGAGGCGTGTAAGGATTCCGCTCGTCGCGTCAAACGATCCGCAATAGACAAATCAGGTTGGCTTATAGTTTCTTTAATCTATGAATTAATTTTGATAAAATATAAGAAAGATTTAGTTCAATTTATAATCTAAATTAACTCTAATAATATTTAATTTAACTTAAAAAATATTAATATAATTATATAATAATTATAATTTCTAAAGTAACCTTAAAATTACCTAAAATAATTTTCTTTTAATAAAATTCTTTTTTCTATGCTTTCGAAAATAAAAACTATAAATAAATAATTCAAAACATTAAATTTCTTAAGTTTTTTTTAACCTGATGTTTTCAAAAGCTTTTTATTCTATGTTTGCTGAATTAAAAATTATAAATAAATAATTTAAAACACTAAAATTTATAAGTAAAACCTTTATAAATTTTTTTGTAGCCTCATAATTCCAAAAGCTTTGAATCTCCTAATCGCTTGGGAAGAGAGAAAAAGAGGGAGAGAGGCGGTGAGACGTAAGGGGAGAAGTGGGCTATTAACGAGGAGAAAATGACAATGGTGAAGCTAGGTTAGGTAGCGATTAAATAAAAAAAAGGACTAATAATGAAATAAGGATAAATAGGTCTGATTTCATTAAAAAACAATTGATAAATTAAAAATCATTACTATTTAGTATGGTTTTGCCATGTTTGATTTTTTTTTTTTTTGCTTTTATTTTTAAATGAATTATTAAAAATATTGTTTTTTAAAATTTTTCCTTAATTAATAGGTTATCAAATTAATTATAATTAGATAAATTTATATGTAATTATTTAATAAACAAATAATAAAAAGTAAACTACATATTTAAATTTAATCATTTTAAGAAAATTCCAATATTTATTAATTAGTTGAATAACTAAGTAATTAATTATCAATGAATAAATATTAACATATTGTTTAATATAATTAATTTAATGAAATTAATATTAATTTTTAATTAGTTCAATAAATACTTAATTATTAATTAGCATAAACATAAACAATAAATTAAATTTAATAAGACTGAATAATTCTTTTAATATCAAACCCGTATTTCAACTAATAGATTTAATTCTTGAAATTAGTAGTCAAACAGTTTCACTGGATTTAATATCTATCTTACCAAATAATTTTTAGGATTTAAACTTCTTAAGATTTATTAAATCATGTTTTATAATATTTACTAAATCCTACCTGCAGCCTAGCAACCCCTAAATATTGCAAAATAGATTTTTGGGTATTTTAAATTCTTCGATTATATTGCTTTATCTAGCAGTTCTTATTTTCTTTTGGTAACTACATTCATTAATATTTTGTTTTTGTTTTATCTTGCGAGAGATATCAGTCAATGTCATATGCCAAGTTAGCAGGGCTTCATCCAATTTATGGGCTTTGTGAGTAATGTTCTTGATGCTTTTTCTTTTTTTCTTTTTTTGTTCTGACGGTGATGAATATTATTGCCAAGCAGATTCTAGCTTTGTTCCAATCTTTATCTATTCTATATTTGGTTCATCACGTCAACTTGCGATTGGTCCGGTGGCTTTAGTATCACTTTTGGTCTCCAACGTCTTGCACAAAATAGTGGATTCTTCTGAAAAGCTGTACACAGAACTTGCAATACTATTGGCCTTCATGGTTGGCGTGCTGGAATGTCTCATGGGATTATTTAGGTACATGATCTTTTTTTAATTATATCTTATATTTTAGTTTTCACAATATTTATTTAAGGACTGAAGATGTCGACTTATTTAATAGGAAGATTTACATACATATCACTGAATTCCTATGTATTTACATATCTAACAACTAAACTTCAATTTTTTCTTATATGTTACCTTACCTATTAAAGAAAAGGTGTTTTTTACTTTTTAAAATGGTAATATTTTCTATGCTTTATGAAAGATTTAGGTGGTATAAATGTACAAATGCAAAGTTTAGGTTTTAGATATGTAAATACGTAAGCATTGGGTGGTATGTATGTAAATGCCCCATAAATTGATTAAATCCACCAATCCCCTTCCCCCCCCCCCCAAACACTGTTAACAGGATTCCCACAAGTGTGCTTAGTACTACGTTACCTATTAATGATAACAGGATTCCCAATTCTGTTACCTATTAAGTGTGCTTAGTACTACCTATTCTTGCTTAATATTTTACAATATCCAATTTATGGGCTTAGTACTACGTTACCTATTAATAATATCCACAAGTGTGCTTAGTACTACCTATTCTTGATAGTTTGTCACCATAAAATGAAAATCAAATGCTTAATATGTTACCTATTAAGCATTTGATAACAGGATTCCCAACTCTGTTGCACTTAGTACTACGTTACCTATTAATGATTTACAACTATCAAAATTATGGGACATGAATGCAAAATTGTTATATTGTATATTTTATATCCTGCTACAAAAATGTATCCTCATGAACAAGCGTGCTTTTAATTTTCATCTCAAACAGATACCATTTAATCTTATTCTTGTTGCATTTTCTGGTCTGTTTTTTCTAAGCAATTGCATTACTTTTTATCTTTAGGCTTGGATGGCTGATTCGTTTTGTAAGCCATTCTGTGATATCTGGTTTCACTACTGCCTCGGCCCTTGTAATTGCGCTATCTCAAGCCAAGTACTTCTTAGGCTACAATATAGAAGGAAGTAGCAAAATCGTTCCTCTTATTCGCAGCATAATTGCTGGAGCTGGTGATGTATGACTCAGATCCTGGTGATAATTTGACTGAATAATTATTCTGAGAGAAGTATACATACATACCACACAATTCTTATGTATTTACATATCTAACACCTAAAGTTTGATATTTATATTTATAACACTTTGTTGTTATAAACTTATGCATTAAAAAGGTGTATTTCATTTTTAAAATGTTAGTAATAATGGTATTTTTTGGTAATGTTAAAGATTTGAGTGATATGCATGAAAATATCGAAGTTTAGGTGTTAGATATGTAAATATATATAAATTTTGTAGTATGTATGTAAATGCTCCTTTTTCTTAACATGCATATGTAATTGTTTTAGATGGTTTCTTTTACTTGAAAGCAATAATTTTCTTATCTTATTTGGTTATGCTGTTTTGCATTACTGATGAAAATAGGGACCAATAAACTTCATTTGCAGGTCAAAATAGTATTCTAGGTTAATTACAATAAAGGCATTGTTGTGTACTCTAGAATGATAATTTTCCCATGTTATCAATTGTTTCCTAGTTTGCCTTCTGGATATTATTGTCAGTCCATCTAGATTTTCGTGCTGGGTGCATATTTTTTAGTTTAATTATCTTCTGTGGTTCTTCAACAAATCATTTGCTAACTTTTATGTAATGATGCTAAAAATTTTGTAGGAAATATATACCCAAGTAAAATTTACTTCTTGGCATTGAAAATTGTAATATTAAAAGTGTTTTATCCAGAAGGAGCTCAGATTATTATTCTTGATCGCATAAGTTCGCTATGATTTACAGTTAATTCAGTTTGGGAGGTTCTGCAATTAGTTTGAAATAACTTGTCTAAGCTTACACGTTTGACTTTTGTTAATTCAAAATAAAGCTTTCAATAAAATTTTTCGAAGGCTGCAATGTTTGATGAAATTTTATCTCTAATAGAATAACTGGGAGGGCTCTTCCTGGACATTTTGAACACCTGTTTACATACTTTTTTCATTTGATTGATCTCTTTTATTCCAAATCAGGAAAGCGTTTTGTAGTTTTGACGAACGTAAAAAATGGACATTTGTAGTTTTCAACTTGTCAGCTTCTTATCTGAACTACCCAGTTCTCTCTTTTGCCTGACAAATTAGTTAAGATCTGTATGGGCTTATTAAATGTTTGATAAGAACAGTATTAGTATCATTTTCTTTGTGTGTTAGTTTTTAAGGATTTTATCAGTTTTCACTAATTCAACATGACAGCTTTTGTTTTTAGTTTAAATGGCCTCCTTTTGTCATGGGATTCTTCATTCTTGGCATCCTTCTTTTGATGAAGGAGCTGGTAAGAATTTGTATGATGATGTTGATGTACTTTTTTAAATTTACAAAATGTTGAGCTTAGTAGATTTCTTAAAATTGGTGCAGGGAAAAACAAAGAAAAATTTACGTATGCTTAGAGCGTCTGGCCCCCTAACAGCAGTCATATTGGGGACATCTTTTGTGAAAATATTTCATCCATCTTCAATTTCAGTGGTGAGATGAACATTATGCTTTGTCATCATAATGGTTTGGGCTTTGAGTCGAGTGTTTTGATGTTTTTAATGCAATTAAAGATTTACCCATGCAGTCAAGCTCATGCAAAGAAATATTCCAGCATCAAGTATAAAATTATTGCTAACATAAAATTCAAAAAAGATGTATATGTGTATCTTCAAAATATAAAGTTTTGGCTATAGATGGACCAAATTTTGACACCAGAACAAAATTTTCAACATAAGAAATAGTTGCAGATATAGGTGAAGTAATTCTGAATATTTTATGTTTTGCACATGCTAGTACAAAACAGAATATGACTCAAGCTGTTTTGTTTCTTAGGGTTTCATCGAAACTTTTTTGATATCCTCTGAACTATTTAAGTTAATTTATAGCTTGACAAAAAAAGTTCTGAAGTATCATGTTAACATGGCTATTAACTTTGGTTCTGCATGGGTAAATGAATTTTACATTAGCGTTAACAATACAAAGTATAATGAATTTGATATGTATATTTGCTTTTAGTGAAATTGATTTTGGTCACTTGAGGTCTAGGACCTAGTAATACAACCTAAGTTGAGTTGCATGTGAAAGCACACAAAAAAGCCATACTTCACAGGCTGCCAATTCTTAACTTTGGCAGAGTTTAAGCACCTTTAGGATGAAAACAATATAGCACACAAAACACATGCCAAACATGAAGATCGTGCCCATCACAAGCTTAGCTCTTCTGTATCTTTTAGCTGTTATGCTGTTTTACGTGACTGTGATGCAGTTTTGAACTTGGAAGATTTACTTGCTTACTACTTAATTTCTTTGTATTACATATCTTGGACCTAAACTTCGGCCTATACATATATGTCACCTTTCCTATGCATAAAAAAGAGCATTTCACTTTTTAAAAGTTAACATAGTTGCATAAAGTGTAAACTTTAGGTATTATATATGTAAATACACAGGAATTGGGTGGTATGTATGTAAATGCCCATTTGAAATTTTGAGTCTGAGATTCACATGAATGACTTGTAGAATTATTGGTTTTCTTAGGTTGGTGATGTACCCCAGGGACTGCCAAAATTCTCTGTTCCAACAGAATTCCGGAATGCAAAATCTTTGATTCCGACAGCATTTCTCATTACCGGCGTGGCCATCATGGTATTAGATGCCTTGGCTTCTTTATTATCTCATCAGTTGAACCTTGTATTTAATCTCCTTACCATAACCACTTCTAGTTAATTTTAGGAATCTGTGGGAATTGCTAAAGCGCTGGCAGCAAAGCATGGCTATGAATTGGACTCAAATCAAGAGGTAATTCCTTGATCTCTTAATCATCAGTACAATTGAACTGATTTAGGATCTTCATTTGAACTGTAACTTAGCCTGCATGCCAAAAAATATAAAAAAAATTGTAAGTTTGAATGAATTTTGCTCTTAGCTTTAGTGGATAAAATTTCCTTTCAAAATTTTGAGTCTTATAATATCTCATGAAAATTGTAACTTTTTAACAATTTGAAAGCATTTTAAAAATAGAATCCCATCAAATTGAGATTTTACTTCAACAATATTATCATTGAGATAATTAAATAGCTTGTGATTTCAGATTTTGTTGACTTTACTTGATCATCTGCAGAGAATTGAATTCATGATTTTGCATATAATTTAAATTATTTGAAAATTTGCCATGCGATAGATCTTATCAACGCATTTTTATGTATAGAAGATTAGGTGTATAGATTGACCTCGTGATTGTTCCTCATAGATTTGAAATTAAGAGTTCATAATTTGAAAAAGAAAATTCTTTTAAAAGAGACCTTAAAGGTTTTATGCAGATGTAAAACTGAATCTTCCATATTTTAAGTTGATCATACAAATGTTTGTCACTAGTTTTAAGTCTTGTCAATTTCATTCTCCGTACATGGGAGGTTTTAATTTGCTAAGCAGTGTTCAATCTCACCCTTTTCAGTTTTTGTATGGAGGAGGATTAGACCTAATAAGTGAGGCTTAAACTTTTTCTTGTAAGCAAGGCAGCTTTTTCAAAAGCGTGCAGAACTTGATAAGCTTGAGTTAGACATTGAAGAGAATAATTTACAGTTTAAAACATTTATAATCTCTTAAAATATTTGCACGTTTGTCAGGTCAAGGATAGTCTGAATTTATTTCATTTATAGCTGGCATGAGATTCACAGATGATAATTCATTCATTTAATATATGTTGGATGATTCTCATTGGGATAGATTTTATTATTTTTATCTCCTTGAAGTTTTGTTTATTCATAAAAAACATAGTAACGACAATTCTCTCAATTCAATGCCAATCTCTTAATTGCCAACTCAAAACTAAATTAACTCCAAACTACATCTTAACTTGAAATCTTTTTTCCTTGTTCAAATCTAAGCCTACCTATTTCAAACTCAACTCAATTTATGGAATAAAATACAAAAATTTGGATTCCTTAATAGTCTAATTTCCTTCTCTTCTTTTCTTCTCTTTTTTTTTTCTTCTTATTTTCCTATGGCATACACTACTTGCAACTTAACTGTCACGAACATGCACGTGCACATGTATATATATATATATGTATATATATATATATATGTATATATACATATATATGTATATATATATATACATATATATATCTACGTATATGTATATATACATATATATATATATATATATATATATATGTATATGCTACGTATATGTACATATACGTATGTATATATATATATATATATGGATTTTTAGTGTATGTTATATAGGACAATAGTGTTGTGAACTACAAAATTATTCAAATGATAAGCTTAGGCTAATTAATTAGTTTAATATTAATTTTATAGAGATTTGTACATATGTGCTCACACATATATGTGTATAATTGTATGTATATATGGTCATAACACATTGTGAAATTCTTATAAAATATTTTGGATCATTTTCAAGCTTTGAGAAAATCGGGATATAAAGTTTAGGAGTTATTTTGATTTTATCTATTCATGTTGTTGGATACTACACCTGAACAGTTCCAGATTCTGGAAATCAGTGAAATTTTCCGGCAAAATTGTCTATGTTGAAATGAGGTGTTTTCAATACATACCACTTAAAGTTTGTTGAATATTACTACATTAATGTTGTTTTTTGGGGGTGAATATGAAAGAAACATTCTTTTCCCTTACTTGCACATAAGGGTTGGTGGTCGTTAATGGCTGGTGTGCTGGTGGGCCTTGTAGGGGGAAAAATCTTGGAGCATTCTTTTTTTTCATCTCCCCTCTTCCCTACCTTGGAGCATTCCTTTTTTACCATCTCCCCTCTCCCCTTTTTTTTACTTGTTTCTAACAATATTTATATACCAGTTAAAACTCACTTTTTTAAATACTTCAAATTTTTTCAATACATTAATATATAACTCACATACACTCTGCTATCTTCTCTCATAAATAAATGGTGTTTCTTTATGATATTTTTTTTTTCACATTTTTCTGATAAAAGTGCAAGCAGAGTTTAAAAAATAGGAATTGGAAACACAAGACACAAAGTTAGGATTTTTTTGGGCAAACTTTTCTCCAAGTAATTTACATAACATTAAAAATATTTTTTTGAAATAGTGAATGATACAAACAAAATGACAACAATTCAAATTTTTTGGAGATAATTTGATGGGTGAAACAAAACAAACGGTTGAACCAGTACATATTTTTCTGAAAAATATAAATTTAGGGATTCTCATTTAAAACAATAAAATAATTGAATAAAAATTAAGATCTAGTAGTTTTTTATTTTGGAACACAATAGTAGACAACACCACTAACATAAATATCAGAAGATTTGCTTGGAAGAAGTGCATAGAATTGAAAATTCTTGCACCAAATCCTTGGGTGGCCGACCACCAAGCCTCAAGCTAATGAAAAACAATTCTTCTAAGTGGTCACACAACTGATATTTTTTTTCAGAGAAGAGATCAGTTCAACTGCAACATGTTAAGCACCCTTTGAGCACACCTATTCACTATGAAAGCAACTAACCACGGATAAGGAGAGAGGGAGTGGTTTTTCAACAACCCAATCGGCCTATGGTTGGCCCTTTTTACAAGCTTCCACTTGATGCATTGACTAGGGTCAATCAACATAAACATACTTTGACAACATAAAAATAAATGTTTGACTTTAACATGAATAATACATACACTTTACATAAACACATACAATTAATACACAATATTAAGAAAATTAAATACTACTTAACATAATGGAAATAGACATAATTGAAGGCCTCTAAAGCCTTCCAAACTATCATAGTCCTCTCAAGCTTGATTTAACTCTATATTTGAATCTACTAGTTGGGCCACATCCTCTAGCTTGACACCTATTTGTGGGGCCACCATCTCGTGTTTCCTTAGTTCCCCTGAACCCAGAAGAATTTTTCTCCAGAGAGTTGAAATCAACATCCTCATCTTCTAAGTCTGGTTCAAGCTTTTGCAAGTTCTCATTAGTGATTTGCGCATCATCTATAGGTGGTTTATCTTTCCACCTCACTAAAAATTTCTGATCACCTACTTGGTCCTTAAATGTGATGATGTGGTCTACTTTATAGAATGAGTGTTAGGTCGACCACTGCAAAATTGATCTTGTTGTCCAAAAAAAAAAGTATCTTACATATTTGGAGGTTGGCTAACTCTTTTAAAAGGTATTACAGCTTCCACATTAATTATAGGGTTAATGAACATATCTTTAGGAAAATTTAGAACACAAAGCTTAGTATTAATTTTTTGAATAATCTCAAATGGCCCTTATGCCCTAAATTGTACTTTTCCAATGAAGTGGATGGATACTGATGGATTCTGATTAGTACACAATCACCTGCATTAAATTGCTTAATAAATTTTTTTTTTGTTTCTAGACTCAACATATTTTGAATTTGAATTTTCTAATTGTTCATTAACATCTATAAGAAGGCTTTGAAAATCATTAGCAAATGGAAATACTGAATTAGAAAATGCACGAGTGAGAATATTTGCAAGATCAACTTGTTTTCTAGGATTGTAGTTGTAAAAAATTTTAAATGGGGCTCTATTGGTGGCCCAAGTAATTGTTATTATAAGCAAATTATGCAGTAAGTAAATGAAGGTTTAAATTTCCTAAGCTTATATCTACTATAATTCAAAAATTTATATAATATTCAAATTGAACCTAAAATGGCTTGAAAATTTTGAAATTATTTGGAATCTTATTTAAAAGATTTATGTAAAATTTCAAGAATTTTAAATGTCATTTGGATTTATTATGAGTTGTTGATCAAAAATACCTTACAATATCAAATAAATCTAATAAATCAAGAAAATATCAAAAATTCATAAAAGATTTACAATAAGTTTTTAAACAATACCAATTTTCAAAAATAATTTCAAGTCACTTTAAAGTTATTTCAGTTAAAATATTCAAAGCCCTAAAAATCATAAAATTAAAACCAAATTAATTCATAAAAGTTTATAACATCATTAAAATTCTTAAAATTTTGTATAGTAGGCTTATAAGATCTATAATTAGTTTTCTAAGTGATTTATAGTATTTAATAACTATTAATAAAGTTAAATATTTATATATGCCTTATAAGTATATAACAGAAATTTAATTTAAAAGTTCCTATGAAATTCACTAAAATGTAAATAATTTTAAATAAAATATTTTCTTGATAAAAATTGAAACCAACAAATAAAATTTAGAAAAGTTGAACGATAAGGCCTTTTTTGAGCTTTTCTCATTTTTCTCACTCACTACTATTTATACATCATACGACACTAACCATGATTTAGGATTAAGAAAATTTAAAAAATTCATAAAAGTTTTACAATAAGTTTTTAAACAATACCAATTTTCAAAAATAATTTCAAGTCACTTTAAAGTTATTTCAGTTAAAATATTCAAAGCCCTAAAAATCATAAAATTAAAACCAAATTAATTCATAAAAGTTTATAACATCATTAAAATTCTTAAAATTTTGTATAGTAGGCTTATAAGATCTATAATTAGTTTTCTAAGCGATTTATAGTATTCAATAACTATTAATAAAGTTAAATATTTATGTATTCCTTATAATATAACAGAAATTTAATTCAAAAGTTCCTATAAAATTCACTAAAATGTCAATAATTTTAAATAAAATATTTTCTTGATAAAAATTGAAACCAATAAATAAAATTTAGAAAAGTTGAACGATAACGCCTTTTTTGAGCTTTTCTCATTTTTCTCACTCACTACTATTTAGACATCATACGACACTAACCATGATTTAGGATTAGGTTGTGGTAAGG